GCAGATGTGTTGAGATGCATCAGGACTCTGCCCATCCGGCACATCCACGTCTTCACACCTGCTCCTGCAGCCTTTGGCAAGAACCATGAGAGAAGAATTATCAGATTCCTGAAGGGACAAAAGGGGGCAAAGCAGGGGTGGGGCTTAGGGGGAAGCAGCCACACCTAGATCTAAAACTCATTCTGCATGTGTGAAGCGAGTTAAGGAATAGTCTGGCCAGATGGGTAGGCATAGGGTTATCAGTTTAAAATTCCAAAAGTAAGGGAGACTACTTTAGACATTCACTTTCCTGAAAGCCAGGAGTGAAGCCAGCTGCTCCCTTCCAGCTCTGGTTTGGTGATGCCACCAGTGCAGCTGGCTCTCTGTAAAATAACACCTGCAGGCTGGTGCCCCCATGCCAGGCCCGGAGGCTGTCACTCTGCTGCCCTCATTTTACTGTCCTCTTCTTAAAATTCTCTTTCCGTGGCTACAACCGCCGCAATTCTCAGAAGTCCCAGGATAGGAATGCGATTGGTTTTGCTTCTCCTCTCAGCCCCTCGCCTGCTGCTTCTGTACCGAATCCTTGGCTATCTGCTTTCTCTCATCCTTCATGTCAATCTCGGAACATACCCATGCGTGTGGCTTCACTTACCATAAACCAAAGATTTCTGGAGAGCCAAATTCTGATAAGTATCTTCACTTACGGCAGGGAGTGGTGGCTTACGCCTGTAATCCCAGCGCTTTGGGAAGCCAAGGTGGGTGGATCATGAGGTATGAGTTTGAGACCAGCCTGGCCATGATGGTGAAACCCCATCTCTACTAAAAATACAAAAATTAGCCGGGCGCAGTGGCGGGTGCCTGTAATCCCAGCTACTCTGGAGGCTGTGGCAGGAGAATCACTTGAACCTGGTAGGTGGAGGCTGTGGTGAGCCGAGATTGCACCACTGCACTCTAACCTGGGCAACAGAGTAAGACTCCGTCTCAAAAAAAAAATTTATATATATATTATATATATTCTTTTATATGTACCCTCAAAATAACATGAACAAAATAATTATTTGCCTTGTCCCAGCCCATCTCCAGCCAGTTCCTTCTGCCATGTTTTCCAGCACACAGAAAGGCACCACCATTATTTAAATCACAGTGCCAGAGCAATGACTTATTCTTCTCCCTCTCTCCCAGCCTTCCATGTGCAACCAGTCAATAACTCCTGCAGTCTCTCCTCCTAAACCCTTCTCATACCCCATTATCTTCACAGTCCACTTGCCTGGAATGTTAGGAAGCCAAATTGGTCCCAGCCTCTGGTCTCTACCATGTTAATCTGTGCTGAAAACTTACTAGAGTGAATTTTTCAAGACATGAATCAGATATGGTATGATAGAAAAAACACTCTGCTAAATTTCAACATGTACAGAATGAGGTACAAGCTACTTAAAAGGGCCTATGAGACCCTTCTTGATCTGACCCCAATTTTAATTCTCTGCCTTCACCCTGCATTCCACTTCACTCAGCTTCCTCAAGCCTGCCCTGCTATTGCATACATACCCGCTTCGTACACATTGTTCCCTCTAATGGGAGGTCTTTTCTTCCTTTTTCAAGTTAGTTTAAAAATCTTTTGGCTATGAGCAACATAAAACTATAACTGGGCATGACTTCTGGTAATTTCACAACTATTTGGGAGTTCTTGCAAAGAGAAAAATCAACCTATCAGTTGGTTTTTAAATATCACTCATGTTCTTTAGTTAAGATTCCATGCTTTTAAACATTTAATTACATTTTATGTTTAATTTGGTTTTGTTTGCTGTTTTTTTGAGACAGGGTCTCGCTCTGTTGCCTAGGCTGAAGGGTAATGGTATGATCATGGCTCACTGCGGCCTTGACATCCCAGGTTCCAGCAATCCTCCCACCTCAGCCTCTAGAGTAGCTGGGACTACATGCACATACCACCATGACAGGCAAATTTTTGAATTTTTTCGTAGAGATGGAGTTTTGCCATGTTTCCCAGGCTGGTCTCAAACTCCTGGGCTCAAGCTATTCATCTGCCTCAGTCTCCCAAAGTGCTAAGATTACAGGTGTGAGCCACTGCACCAGACCTTTATGCTCAATTCAGATGTTGCAAATTTTCATTTTGTATCATTGGACCCAATAAAAACTTTTATAGCCCTTGAAAAGTTCAGATTTTATAAATGCCTTTATTTGCTGTAATATCTCTATTAAATCATTTATTGCAACTTTTTTTTTTGAGATGGAGTCTCACTTGGTCGTCCAGGCTGGAGTACAGTGGTGAGATCTCAGTTCACTGCAGTCTCCGCCTCCCGGGTCCAAGCGATTCTCCTGCCTCAACTTCCCAAGTAGCTGGGACTACAGGTGTGCACCACCATGCCTGGCTAATTTTTGTATTTTTCGTGGAAACAAGGTTTCACCATGTTGGCCAGGATGGTCTCAATCTCCTGACCTTGTGATCCACCTGTCTTGGTCTCCCAAAGTAATGGGATTACAGGTATGAGCCACCACGCCCAGCCTATCACAACATTTTACAATTCATCTGCCTATATTCATTTTTCCCACTAAAATGTGAGCTTAGCAAGGGGAAAGAAATGATTCATCCTTACTTATATTCCCAGTTTCCAGAACAGTACATGGCTCAAAGTAAACCCTCAATAAGTCTTTGTTTATTGAAAGGATAGAGGATTAATAAACGAATTATTGGCATGCAATAAATATCTCAATTAGCATCTGTTGAATAGAAAATATGTATATGTTATAGGCGATATTCAACAGTCGTACAATACCTCATCTTAAGTAAGGCCCTGGTTAGATCCACTTTTATATCTTTTATGTTTCACACCTAACAGAAGAAACTTTCTTTCAACTTTATTTACATCAAATATTTAATATAAGCTAAACTTTTAAGAATATCATTTACAAGATATATAAAATTCATCTGTTATTAGGTTGGTCCAAAAGTAACTGCAGCTTTGCCACTACTTTTTCACCAACCTAATATTATTATTTCAGTGTGACCGAGATCCTTTCTACAAAGCTCTCTTTTCCTTTCAGATCTGCTATGAAGTACCAACATTTTTTTACTGTGACCATAAAACTCCATTCAACAAAAATTACTAAATATTAAATACACGTATAGAAAAGAAACGATATCTATTATGAGAGACTGAGAGGCTAATTGGGCTAAATGTAGCTGCCCAAAGCTCAAAGACACAACCTGCATGGTGAAGGAGCCTAGACTCAGGGGAAGAACATCAGGAGGAAGAGGTGGTCCACGCAAGCTGAGTCCAATTGTGTTTGCAGAGTAGAGATTAAAGATGCCATTTCCAAATGGATGGAACAGCAGGAACAAGAGCCAAGAGGAAAGAATGTGTAGATTGTGGAAATGGGCCTGGTTGAAGCAGACAAGATACAAACAGGGAGAAATGGAGAAGTGAGGGGAGGGTAGATGGGTAGTTGGCAAAGTGTTTGGGTTTATTAACTTGGAATTGGCCAGCACAAAATTTGAGATTGGATTATGCTGAGGTTTTGTACAAGGAGACAGCATCTATTAATATTAGGTGGTTCTCCTACATCCTGGGGAAGATTAGATCAGTCTTGACTAGCACAGTGGTTCTCATAGCAACGCTTCTCTTTTGATTATACAGTCATCATTTAGTAAAAGAGTTCTCACTGGCTAAGCATTTTACAGGCATGGTCACATTCGATTCTCATCACAACCCTGGAAAATGGGTATTTCATTCATAAAAGTTGAGAACAATGTGGCTTAGAGAAATTGAATAACTTGCTTATGGTTATCCAATTTGAGCTTTGACTTCATAATCCATGTTTCCTCCTTCTTCAGTTTTCCTGCTATGTTTGCTGTCAAATCTCTCAGGTCTTCAGTGTTTAATGGATGTGCTCTAAGCAGTAGACTGAAGTGAAGACTACCATTTCTGATTTGGACTTTATAGTTCTACTAATGCAACATATTACAGCTTATTCATTACCTTTTTAGCAAGCAGAGCAAATGTTGGCTTCCATGAGTTCTGTGTATCCCCAAAACCTGGATGTCATGCATGAGAACTTTCAACAAACCTGGTCTCTTCCACATTAAGCATACATAATTTATATTTTGAACCCAAACACAGAACTTGACATTTATCTATTTTGAAATGGTACCTTTTTGTTTTGGTTTTCCACCCTTCCAGCCTAGAATAAACTATTTAAATCCTGAGTCTGTGAGCTTACCAGTAAGATACCTACAGAGAATAAGCAGGTGATACAATCACACACATAGCTTTTGGGGAGAGAGACTCAGAAGGCAAACTGATAATTTCAAAAGAATTTAGAGCCCACCCACTTAAATGCCCCAGAGAATATCACATGGTCTTTTGAGATGAACTTGGAAGACTCCTTCCCTCCTGGAGAGATGCCTTAGAAGAACCAGACTCTTCCAGGAAGCTCTTCCAGGGCAGGGCTGAAAGGGAAATGCTGAGACCTAACAATGAAGACAATGCTTGGAAGGGAGCATCTGTGAAAAAAGCAAAATCCTCCCTTTGAGAATAATTCAAAGGGTGTCTCTGATCCCAGCTACCAGACCTCCACCCTTGATTACTCAGACCTGACACTAGCCTTCCTAGACAAGCCCTAACAAGGAGGTTCCATCTGGGAACACTTCCCTGACCTTACAACTGTTTTCCTCTGCCACCCCAGACACCATGTCTGCTATCTCTGAATACAGTTGTTATTTAAAATGTCAAGTGACACAGTAAAGAGGTATGAAGGCACGAGACTAGAGACTTCCTACTAGATCAGTGTTGATCATGCAGAAGATACTATAAATCACAGTGATTTTTTGGTTTGTTTTCTCTATATACAACTCTTTAGAGAGCAGCCTGGTTTGATGAGGAAAGGAGAGTAGGGAGAAAGCTAATATAAGAGAACCTGCTTGAAAGCTGAAATTAGCAATGATTCTCAGTTGAAAGGAAAGCAACAAAATCTAGGACTATTTGTGAGGAGCTTCTGAGAGCTACACACCTCCTCCGGACCTCCTACAGGTCAGCAGCTCGGCCATCCAGGCCACCGTCACTGAAACAAACGTGACGTATTTTTCAGTCTGTGTGTTCAGAAAAAAGCAATGAGAAACAACCCACTGGACTAGAGAGATAAACCTGTAAGCCGTAAGCCCCTTGCTCCACTGCTATAGTCTACCAGGTGTTTGACTAGAGGAATGAGCTCCTACAGCTGTAGAAATGATCTAGCCAGAATCTTGTTGCAATTACCAAGCCTTGAGCAGTCATGCTCATGGAGGCTTAGCCTAGGAATGCAAGTTACGATTAACACAACAGACCTATCTCAGAAACTAACCTTGCTAGTGTCACCTTTCCTTTCTAACAAGAACATGACCTACTTCCTTTCCTTGGTCCTCTCTCTTTTAAAGGCAGTGCTGTTTTTTCAGGGATCTAAGGTCTACACATGGAGCAAATATTTTGGTCACATGACCTTTTTGTTAGATTTTATGATAATCCTTCTAAGCCTATATTGCAAAGTGCTTTAACAGTCACTTTAGGGGTTAAAAAAAAACTGAATTAAAACAGTTGTATGTGTATTGCTTAACCTACAAAGTGCCGCAGAGAAATTATAGACACCTGGGCTTCACGTTACTATAATCCCTGGTATAGAATCAGTTCCAGATTTCACTTCACTGGTAAATAATGGCACTCAGAAAAAAAAGTAAATCAAAAATGCAACCATGATAATTATTTAAAGGTACATATTATTGGAGAAGCCAACATTAAACAATTTCCATATAAATATACTGAAACCACCAAAAATCTTTCATTTTTAGCAACTTGTGTTACACATTCTTACTTTTAAAAATATTTTTAAATTCTCAATATATTGGTTGTTGAATGCAAACCAAAGGGTCATTAAACAAACTGTATTCAATTCTGTTATTTAATTGGATTAGTTTTTTTGAATATTTAATATTTCAAACATCTAGAAAATATAGCAGATACTTATGTATACTTGAAAATTCTGTTAATATAGCCTGTATCCATGAAGTTTAGTGAATTTTCCCAAATTTATCTCCAATATCAATTCAATTTTTGTTATTATAATGAGAATGTTTTCAAACCAAAGGGGAGAGACTGATGGCAAGACTGATGTAATGTGTAGTTCAGCTTTGGATGAACTACAGCATCCAAACCTGAGGTACAGGTCACACGGGCTGAGTGAGCTAGAGGCACACCGCTGTCTGGAGTGTATGAGCAATATACACATTAAACCCAAACATACTGGCCAACTCTTCCCTCAGTCTGCAACAGCCTTCTATTACTCTCCTGTGTTAACAATCTTGGTAACTGCTTAAATTTTTGCTTCAGTTGGGCCAGTAAACTCTTCATGAATTACTGCCTGGCACACTTATTTTAAATAAAACAAAAATTCTATAGCCCCAATCTCCCTGACTCTAGTTATAAGAAAAAACAAAAAGCCTAGAATATCACTGCTTTGCTTATAATAGGATACAGGTATGAAATCTTTTTACAGAAAGGCATTTTTGTTCTCTTTTAACAGTAACAATCTGTACACTGCCTTAATTGGGCCCCTGTAATTCTCAGCATGAATTTAATTTTTACTGAAGATTTCCTTTAAAGCAGGTAAAACCAGGTTTTTTCTTTAAAAAAAATAGGTAAGAGAACACTCCAGAATGAGAAGCAGGAAAATAATGCAGGATAGTAAGCACATCTCTTCAAATAAGATGGTTTTATCGGTCCTCAAAGAGTTTATAGCAACACGGATAATCACCCAGGAGAGAAACTTAACAAAATCAGTTCACGCCGCAGGGACTTTGCATTTCAATCCTTCCACACATACTGACCTGAGAGTCACAGAGAAATGGTGCCTTTGCTACTGTCACCCTCGTTAATCAGCACTGATGAGATTTAAAGAGAGGACCCAAGTCACTGTTTTTAAAAATACTGAGTTAAAAAAATAAAGCCAAACCTTACCAGAAAGGAGCAAGCTGACTCCACAGAGAACTAAGCTGGCTAAAGAGTCCATGCTTCCCCAAATCTCTCCATCCAGTTTCCACAGATGTGCATGAGGTCCCAAGGATCCTTTCAAAAACCCAGCAGTTAGTGACTTTCCATTCGCATCGTCCTTCTAGGTCTTGTTTACAAGCTAGAGGCAAGAAGGAACTGCACAGAAGCAGGCTGTAACAGTCTCATTTCTGTCTGAGCACAGGGAGTTTTAAGTTCCTTTTTCCTGTTTCCTTTGTAGATTAGGATGGGAAAGGCTGTATCTTAAAGGCATTTGGTATCAGCAGGGCTGGGGGCACTCAAGCCCTATCCATCTTGCGATTCATCAAAACACTTATCTGTCGCTGTTGCTTCTGCTGCTGCTTTTGCTGCTGCTGTAGGGGTAGAGGAATTTTTGTTGGAAGTGTGGGTCCCCGGTCAGCATTTTCAGAAACAATAGGGGTATCCTCTCATAGGCGGGAAACTGAGAATAACAAGCCCTCCACCTATGTATGGTATGCGATGATGACCAATCCTTCTCAGACTTCTAACCGCTCTCCTGGAGCTACTGGGATCTCGGACATAAGGGGCTTCTGGGTGTGGGGAGCCGTTTGGGGTTTTGTTTTCTCAATTCAACCCACATGGTTTGAATTGGGAAAAGAAGGTTCCCGTGATGAGAAAATACAACGTGAAAGGCAATTAATTTCAGTGAGTACCGGTGAGGTCAATGCTCAATGTAGCCACGAGAGACCACAGTCCAAAATTGTTAGCCTGTTTTCCTTCACACAGATGGCCCGTTGGTTGGCCATTAGCCCACAGATACCCATGTTGCTGGCTATAGCTTTAATTTTCATTGGCAATTCATCTGAAAGTGATCGAATTTCTGGAAGAAGTTGGCATAGAAGGATTTTAGTCATGAGAAGGATTTCATTGTCATTGAGCAATGGTGTTTCAGAATCAAATTATGTATAATATTTAAGAACTAATCTGTGTAAAAAAAACAAACATACAGAATTAGATTGAGATGAAAATAGTGCTAATAAGACCGAAGAGAGTAAATGGGCCAAAATGAAAACAGCCATTGAATATACAATATCTAAAATGAGATCAGAGACCCTACACTTAACCAGATGGTAATTTTTCCGCAATATGAATTATGACATTAGATTAGAGGGTGTACTCTTAGCTCAGCATCGACCTTCATGCCTGAGGAAGCTATTATACTCCTCCTTTTCCTAACCGCCACAGGAAAAGGCAGATGCAGCTAGTCTTGACTAATTTCTGTCCCAGGTTTTATCACATCTATGATGATCTCGCGAACCAGTTAATGTTTCCAGTTTGCAGGTGTGAAAATGCCCAGGTTTTGTCTGCAAACAGATCTGGGTTCACATACTGGCTCAGCTGCATGTGTGGCTGAGACAAGCTACTTAGTCTTTTTGAGCCTCAGTTTCAACAGCTGTAAAATGGCCAACTACCTCCTTCCCAGGTGTTTTGAGAGAAATTAATGAGGTTTAAAGATATAAAAGCATTTGGTACTATGCGTAGTTCACTGAAGGTTCTCATTAAATGTTAATTCATCTTTCCATTCAGCCTCAATTTAAATTACAAGAACTTCTACTAAAAAGCTATTTTTTTTTTAGACGGAGTCTCACTCTGTCACCCTGGCACGATCTCAGCTCACTGCAACCTCCGCCTCCCAGGTTCAAGTGATTCTCCTGCCTCAGCCTCTCAAGTAGCTGGGATTACAGGCACCTGCCACCATGCCCAGCTAATTTTTGTATTTTTAGTAGAGAGGGGGTTTCATTATATTGGCCAGGATGGTCTCGATCTCTTGACCTCGTGATCTGCCCACATTGGCCTCCCAATGTGCTGGGATTACAAGCATGAGCCACTGCACCAGGCCTACTAAAAAGCTATTTTCTATTCCTATGAGATGACTTTATCATCATAAAACAACAACAACAGTGGGCCAGACTACAAACATTAGTCTTTGAGACTAACAAAGATATCAATAGATAACAAAACGATTTTTCTGAAAGAGGTAGAAAATAACTTACATACTACCACTATACACTGGTGTCACACTTCTAGAGGTCAGTATCACAAACACAAAGCAAAAGCCTTGTATGCATATCCTTTAGCCCAGAAAATCAATTATTCTTTTTGAGAAAGTCTCACTTTGTCGTCCAGGCTCGAGTGTAGTCGTGCGATCTCGGCTCACTGCAACCTCTGCCTCCCGGGTTCAAGCAGTTCTCCTGCCTCAGCCTCCTGAGTAGTTGGGACAACAGGCATGCGCCACCATGCCTGTCTAATTTTTTGTATTTTTAGTAGAGATGGTGTTTCACCATGTTGGCCAGGCTGGTCTTGAACTCCAGACCTCAAGTGATTTGCCTGCATCGGCCTCCCAAAGTGCTCAGATTACAGGCATGAGCCACTGCGCCCAAACAGAAAATCAATTTTTATGATATACACCAAGCCAAAATCAAACATGTATCCCAAAATTTATGTATAAGGACATTACAGAAGTATAGTTGATAATAATCAAAGCCTAGAAACAATCAAAATAGTCAACAAAAATGGATTATTTATTAAAAATCATGGTATGCAAGAAGTTCAGACAAGTGTTCAAATATTGTGGTGAAAGCAGATTGACACAGAAAGATGTAAAAATGTTTATGGTATATTGTTGATTGGGGGAAAAAACACAATTTAAACAGAATGAAATTTATACCCACTCAATACACACCACAGAAATACAACAAATATATATTAAAGTGTTAAAGGTGACTATTTCTGAGTTGTTGGAAAACATAATTTCTATTTTTTTCTTTATACTTTTCTATAATTTTTAACACTTTTAGAAATAATGAACATATATGTAAAGATGAAGGAGTCTGAGGGGACACCTTTGAGACAGCTGACCCAGGGTAATAGGATGTATACTTTAAAACACACGTTGACAAATAAGAAACAGAATCCAGTCTACGACATATCCCAGCAATCCCACCGCTGGGTATATACCCCAAAGAAAGGAAATAAGTACATCAAAAATATACTTACACTCCCATACTTATTGCAGCACTGTTTACAATAGCTAAGATATGGAAGCAACCTAAGTGTCCATAAGTAGCTGAATGGATAAAGAAAATGTGGAACATCTACACAATGGAGTACTATTTAGCCATAAAAAAGAATGGCATCCCGTCATTTGCAACAATATGGATAGAACTGGAGAGCATTATGTTAAGTAAAAGAAGTCAGACGCAGAAGGACAGACATCACATGTTCTCACTTATTTGTGGGATTTAAAAATCAAAACAATTGAACTCAGGGAGATAGAAAGCAGAAGGATGGTTACCAGAGGCTGGGAAGTGTTGTGGGAGGGTAGGGGAGCTGCTGAGGATGGTTAATGGCTACAAAAATAAAACTGGTTAGAAAGAATAAATAAGACCTGCTATTTGATAGCACAACAGGGTGACTATAGGCAATAATGACTTCATTATACTTTTTAAAATAAAGAGTGTAATTGGATTGTTCATAACACAAAGGATAAATGCTCGAAGGGATGGATACCCCATTCTCCATGATGTGGCTATTTCACATTGCACGCCTGTATCAAAACATTTCATGTATCCCATAAATATATACACCTACTATGTACCTACAAAAACTTAAAATTAATAAATTAATAAAATAGGATAATTTTTAAAAGAAACAGAATCCAGGTACAAAAAAGTGTGGCCTCCAGGAGGTGACCAGGAAGATGGAGTGCCAGCTACCTACAGCACAGCCTGGACATTCTGTCCTTTGCTGATCTGTGGGCACTGAGCCACCAGAGCCATCCCATCTGACTTCTTAAGGATCTTCATGAGCTTCTTTGCGAATCCACTGTAGGTAACAGTGGCCGGCAGAAAAGGAAAGGTCAGGCCAGGTGCAGTGGCTCACCCCTGTAATCCCAGCACTTTGGAAGGCCGAGGTGGGCAGATCATGAGGTCAGGAGTTCAAGACCAGCCCGACCAACATGGTGAAACCCGGTCTCTACTAAACATACAAAAATTAGCCAGATCTGGTGGTGCACGTCTGTAGCCCCAGCTACTCAGGAGGCTGAGACAGGAGAATCACTCGAACCTGGGAGGTGGAGGTTGCAGTGAGCAGAAATCATGCCATTGCACTCCAGCTTGGACGACAGAGCAAGACTCTGTCGCAAAAAAGAAAGAAAGAAAAGAAAAGGAAGGGTCATCAACAATTAAGGTTTGGCCTTCAGCCAGGACACCACAGTTAAAGTGACCACACCCACCCTGTTCTGGCTGTGGAAAATGCCTGACCCTCTCCAAACTCCATTTACTCTAAACCTTCTCAGCTATTGCAGCATTTTTCTTTTACTTTTTCTTTTTTTAACATTGAAATTGAAAGTACTGTGCTATTCACTGTAGGAAGAGACACAGAAATAAAAGATTCTGTCTCTGCTTTTAAAGTTCATAATTACAAAATCCCAGTGTGGTGGCACTGCATCAAAACAGGAAGAGTTAAATAACAAAATCAGGCGTTGTGCAGCTGAACACCAAGGGGTGGTACAAGCAATCAAGCTCTTCTTTGTTTTGTTTTGTTTTGTTTTTGAGACGGAGTCTTGCTGTGTTGTCCAGGCTGGAGTGCAGTGGCACATTCTTGGCTCACTGCAAACTTCGACTCCCTGGTTCAAGTGACTCTCCTGCCTCAGCCTCCTGAGTAGCTGGGATTACAGGCACACACCACCACACCCAGCTAATTTTTGTATTTTTAGTAGAGACAGGATTTCACCACACTGGCCAGGATGGTCTCAATACCCTGACCTTGTGATCCTCCCACCTTGGCCCCCTAAAGTGCTGGGTTTACAGGCATGAGCCACTGTGCTCAGCCAATAAAGTTCTAGTAGTTTGCTTTGGTATCCTTTAGGCTAGAGAGCACCAATTCTCTTATGTTTTTTTCTTTTCCTGGTATTTCCTAGACGGAGGTGGCATCTTTCCAGATAGACTGTAAGCTCTTAGGGCAGGAGCTTTGTACTTTATTTGGAATGATCCTCTATGCCTTCTCTCAATGGCTTAAGGGAAGGAGCAACCTAGATGTCTTTGCAACCATTGTGAGATCATGTGGCCACAGATAACGCAGACTAGATATAGATAGAATAGATAGGACACAGATAGAATAGGTATTTCCCTGCCTTGGGAAAAAAAAAGCTTCAAAAAATGATAAAATAACATGAAAAGAAAAAATAACCTCCTATTCCTCCTTCAAAATACAATTCAGGCTGGGTGCTATGGTTCATGCCCGTGATCCCAGCACTTTGGGAGGCCGAGGCGGGTGAATCACTTGAGGTCAAGAGTTTGAAACCAGCGTGGCCAACATGGTGAAACCCCCATCTCTACAAAAATACAAAAATTAGCCAGGTGTGGTGGTGCATGCCTGTTATCCCAGCTGCTTGGGAGGTTGAAACAGGAGAATTGCTTGAACATGGCAGGTGGAGGTTGCAGGAAGCTGAGATCGTGCCCCTGCACTCCACCTTGAGGACAGAGTGAGACTGTCTCAAAAAAAACAAAACC